GCTTCATAACAGGTCGTTTTTTTTACAAAAATATGTATAAAATTGTAATAAATGCTTGCGATAAAATATATATATAAAATTAATACAACTGTTAATATACAAATTGTTTTTGAAAAATAAATTTAGAACAAATAAAAATAAAAGCAAATAAAAGAAATTAATTGTGCTAGTTTATAATTTTTTAATAAAAAAGAAAAAGAAAATTTATATCTGTAGAAAATAAAAACGTTTTGATTCAGATTTTAAATGTTCAAGTGTATTTCTCTTGATTCTCTTGATAGTAATAATCTGTGGGAAAACTTCGGCATAAAGTAAAATTATATAAAGAATTAAAGTTTCTGTCGATTAAAAGAACTTGCTTTATAATAAATCCATTGAGCGATAAAAACGGCATATTAGGAGAATATTAAGAGAGTCTAGAAATGTGGACATTTTAGAAAAAGAGACTCGTTTAACTCAGTTAAACTCAACACATAAAAAAATAAATAAAAAAAGTTAAGTTACAAGTAAAAATATAAATATATATATATATATATATATATATATATATATATATATATATATATATATATATATATATATATATATATATATATATATATATATATAAATAAAAAAGTGCTTTCTTTATTGATAACTTTAAAACTTGAAATTTTAAATTTTACTTTGATCATTTTGATAATCTTGAATTATATAAAATACAATGGTTTTTTAAAGCTTTTTAAACCTATTGTTTTTTATGTAATTCAAGATTAGCTTTTTTTCGGTCACTTTTTAATTCAGGTAAATTATCAAGTGGACACGGAAAAATCCGGTCAACTTTGAATTGAGATTTCTCTAATACCATAAATGCATAAATTTCAATTTTTTAATATATTAAATGTGTTTAAATATGAGATTTTAATCTATAAGGGTTTTAACTTAACTTTAAGGGGTTTGATGGCTGTTTGGCAAGAGATCGAACTTTATAGCGGGTTGATGCCATAATTTCGCAGATTTTTTTTTTTAAACCTTTTTATTATTTGTTATTTCCTCTGTTTTAGGTAGAACTTCTTTAACAATGGCTCAAAAATCTTGCGCTCTTCAGAACGATTTGGAGGATTCGTATCTTTAGGAACAATTTTCCCATTATTTTTATAATAATAGGAAAATTGTTCTTATAGATACGAAACCTCCATATCGACAGGTTTATCTTTGTTCTCATAGTAAAATTGTCGACTAGAAAGTTGTGAAAAACTTGCCTTGCATTACGCTTCGTCGTCTTCAATTATGCGAATTCCTTTAATTTCACTATTTAAGCTTCTCTTAGGTGTACTTTTCTTATGAAATGCTTTAATTCCAACATTTTAAAATACTTTTTTGATATAAGAACGCGAAGTCTTGAATTTTCGTGCTAGATCTTGCTGTGGCTGGTTCAGATTCTTGCTATTAAACTGAGAGTCGACTTAACCTTTTTAAATTTATGAAAACTGTTCTTTCTTCCGCTTCTAGGTTTTTTTTGAAACTTTGAGTAGTCTTAAACTTATTTATAATATAATATCTATAATAATCTATAATATCTATAACTGTAGATTTTTGGACATTTGTACGTTTAGCAATGAAGCGATATGAAGTCGATGGATTTTTGCAAAAAAAAAATCACAACATTTAACGCACCTCAATTTGTTTCCGTAACATTTTTCTAATCACTGATTTGTAAACAAAAGTTTATCCACACAATTAAAGATAAGGAAGTAACTTTTAATTAAAAAAGAAGAATAAAAAAGCATTTGTCGTTTTAGAGAAATCTCAATTTAAAGTTGACCGGATTTTTCCTTGTCCAAGAAATAGGTTTTTATAATTTTACCTTTTCAAGTACAATGATATAAAATTTTTCTTTTATATATTGGGTTGATGCATAGTTATCCGGTGTTTTTCAACAAATTTTATTTAACAAAACCAATAACAATATTTGACCAAAAAAATATTTAACCGATTATTCGGAAGCGTAGTCGCCGTCTACTTAATTTACTGCTTCCCATTTGCTAGAGAGACGATCAACTCCATGAGCGAAGAAGACATGGTTCTTAGAGACAATCCACACTTTGACATCGGCCACCAAGTCATTCAAAATGTTGCAAATCTTATTCATTTGCTAGATTTTCAAAATAAATTTATTGTGCAAGTTTATATTTTTTTAATAAAAAAGAAAAAGAAAATTTAAGTTTGTAGATAATAAAAAACGCTTTAATTTAAACTCTTCAAGTGTATTTCCCTAAGCAGCCAGTATTGTTGGGCCAACAGCATTTTGCGTTAGTTTGTCAAACTGAATTTGAGTTGTAGTTGTGCCAACAGCATTTTGCTTCAGTTGGCCAAACTGCATTAGACTTGCATTAGTTGGGGAAACTGCATTGCATTTGCAGTTGTATCGACCACATTTTGCAATAGTTGGTGCAACTGCATTGAAAATTGAAGTTAGACCAAATTTATTTTGTGTTAGTTGGTCCAACTGAATTGGAATCGCAGTTGGTCTAACAGCATTTAGTGTTAGTTGGCGCAATTGGATTTCCATTTGGCTTACAGCTTTTGGTATTATTTTGGTAATATATATATATATATATATATATATATATATATATATATATATATATATATATATATATATATATATATATATATATACATGATACCAAAATAATACCAAAAGCTGTAAGCCAAATGGAAATCTAATTGCGCTAACTAACACCAAATGCTGTAATGTTGTTTGTTTGACAATACAAACACTAAACTAAATGTTATAAATAATAAAACACATTAAACTGTAATGTTGTTTGTTTGACAATACAAACAAACAACATTTAATTAAAAATAATTTACTTAGTAAATAATATAAATGTCAACAAATACAACAAATTGGTTATTTTTTGACGTAAAAAATAGTATATATATATATATATATATATATATATATATATATATATATATATATATATATATATATATATATATATATATATATATATATATATATATATATTTAATTATTTTTAATTAAATGTTGTTTGTTTGTATTGTCAATCAAACAACATTACAGTTTAATGTGTTTTATTATTTATAACATTTAGTTTAGTGTTTGTATTGTCAAACAAACAACATTACAGCATATATATATAATAGAAATAGAAATAAAAGAAAATAGAAAAAAAATTATTTTTGACAGATTTTACAAAAAAAGATTTTCCATATCATTTTAGAGTACTTTTTTTGAACATCTCTAGACAATTTATTGACATAGTTTCATTGACTGGGGAGTTCCATAGCGAGGTTGCTCAATATAAGTTACTTTTTATAAACTTATGTTTAGAGATCATGGGTGGGAGTACTAATTTTTTACTAAAGCGAAGACTTAACGGCAGGAATTTTTTTGATAAAAAGATCTAACATAAATTTTGGATTTAAACCATTTATAGATGAAAAAAAACTTTAGTTAAAAAAACCTTAAATTTAAGGTGGATACTTGGGTTATTTTCTATTTTTGGAATTACTATTAATAGGAGATCAAATCTTTTATAGACAATGCCTTTTTAATGAATTTTATTAATTAGGTTATTATTATATTTTGAACAAAACATCCAAATCAAAGGACAATATGAAAAATTTGACAGTATAAAAGCATTGAATAAAACAATAGCTTGTTTTACTGATAAAAAGCTCCTTATTCGTGGGAGAGCAAAGGATTTACTATTAGCTTTTCCACACAGACTTTTAATATGATGATCAAATTTTAAACCTTTATCAATTGCGGTAGTGGTGTGGTGGTTGAGCACTCGCTTCATAAGCGAGAGTTTCTAAGTTAGATACCTGTTACGATAATACGACTATAAGACGGTTAAGACTAAAATGACGCGAATAAGTCTATGAATTGAGCGTAAAAAAAATGATTAGGTATGTTCAAATGTAACAACTTAAGTTATACTAATTTTGAATACGTTTATCTTTTGTTAAAGAACAAAAGCATTATGTTTAAAAAACATTTAAATATAGTTTTAAATTAAAAAATAATATTAATGTAATTATGGAGTTTTTAATAAAGTAATCGAGTTAGGGTTAAGTTACATTTATATATGTCAGAAAATAAGATAAAAAAATCATTGTAATTTCTATTAGTGCGTTTATTTCAATTTTTAATGGCAAATTAGAAAAACTATATTTAATAATAATTTAACAACACTCCCTTTAATAGTAATAAATTAATAGAGTGTAAAAACTTTAAAAGTCCTGTTTTTTTTTTTGATTTTTTTAATTTTGTTTTTTTGTTTTTTAAAGGTTTCAGTATTTATTCATAACGATTAGAATATAATTTCTTAAATATTTAAAGCTGTTTAGCGGTTTTTCACAATAGATTTCCTGGTGCCAAGGGTTGCTATGCAACATGGTTTTCCACATGTCATTTAAAAAAAGTTACTTAAAGTTTTATATGACATCATTAAAGAGTTTATTAGATATTTTCTAGTTTATTGAGTATAAATACAAGGGTTATCTATATTTCCTTATTATCTTATTTTAAAATCATTTTCTAATAACAAGTTAAACCCATGAAAGAAGTTATTTAAAAAATTTAATATTATCAAAGTCCATTTTTCCATTTAAATAGAGTAAAAAAACATGGTATTAACTATTCTCGGTGTTATATTATTATCTGATTAGTTCATAAAGCGTATATAAATAAAAGCTGCAATGTAAATAATAAACGGAAACACACACATATATATATATATATATATATATATATATATATATATATATATATATATATATATATATATATATATATATATATATATATATATATATATATATATATATATATATATATGTATATATATATATATATATATATATATATATATATATATATATATATATATATATATATATATATATATATATATATATATATTCAATCTGAAGTTGACACACAGAAATACGAAAGTCAAAGGGTAAATTTTAGTTAACTTATTAATTAAGATAATGGTAAACGAAATGTTTATTCCATCTTTCATGCTATGCTATGATGTTCATTCCATCGTTTATCAAAATAAAACTTGTTTCTGGAATAAAAAGGGTTGAAAATTAATCTAGATTTTTACCAATTTCATGGGATGAATCATTTGCTTCATATTTAGATTATACCAAATCTGAAATTTTCTTTCTACTCTTCATCCTCAGTTGCAGTCCGGTTTGATTTTTGAATTAATTAAAATACGCTTCTTTTGAGACCCAGGTTGACATACTTTTAAGTTGTTGTTGTTTTTTTTTGGCAATATTAGGGATTTTACCCCAAATGCTAAAGATTTGAACACAAATTTCTTTACAACTTGACGTGATAGTGAAAACTGAGTTGCATACTTGAAATCAAAATAAGAAATGATGTACAAAAAGAAATTGTTTGCTCGGCACCAGAAAATTTTTTTTTTGTTGACCTGTGTAATTATATTATATTTCGTTTTGAAAAACATTTGATATTATTTTTATATTTATAATGCATTTATATATATTTTTTTTCTATATTTGAAAATTCTATAATTTGTGCATAGAAATTCAAAATGGGTCTCAATTTATTAAATCTAATTTCTGGTCTCCTTCATCATCATCTGTATTTAAATAATCATCTAAAAGCTTATGTTTGTAAATTGTGTGTGTTTCTGTAAAAGTGTGATTTTAAAAATTTACTGAATGAAATTATGTTATATATACAAATACATTGTGTAAATTGATAACCAAACTGCACTACTATCATTTATACTAACACTAATGCTTGCTAGAACATTGCAAGTGGACCAATTATCACCTGGTTTTGTTATCCACCGTGTTGGAGGTGCCTTTAATTTATTTATGCATTATAGAATGATGTTTGTTGTAAACTAGTATAACATAAGTTATAAATGAAATCTTTTGTTTCTATAGACTATTATTATTAAAGTATTATTTTATGTATTTTGTTAAAAAGTATACCTGTTTTATTTTTCTTAACATTTAGTGAATGATTGTCGGCAAGCCATATTATTAGAAGAGATCAAACAGGATTTTATCAAACATTAGTTTATTGTCACCTTACCAATATTTGATTTTACTTAGATGCGATTCGACGCAATCCGTCAACATGCCGTGGTACGGATGCCGATGTTTGAGTGTAATTAAAGAATGGTTTCGCTTTGCAAAAGATCGTAATGGAGGGAGGAAGAGAAGAGTAAAAACGTTGTAAAACCTTTTACTAGAAATATTTAAATTTATTAGAACTTTATTACTTAAAACGTAGCGTCAACCTGTAAAACTTATTATGATAACAATGTTGGTTTAATGAGAATCAAATCATCCCAGCCTACACACTATATTACCCCAACGTTAAAAAAATGTCAGATGTCTTACGCCAACGTTGTTCCAACATTGACCTTTATAGCTTTCTTGCTAAGACATGCTAACGCTACAATTTTTTTTCAAACTATTTAAAATGCACAATTGCATTGTTTGGTTGATGAGGAGTCATTTTAGTGTCTACAATCTTTTACCAACGTTGCGCCAATGTAAGACCAACTAAGTATAATATCATTAAAACGCGTTGCTAACTGTACCCAACTAGCTGATTTTGTTAGAAAAACGTTGGCCCAACTTAGAAACAACGTTTGAAGACGTTGGGCCAACATGTTTTTTATAAAGTGTTTTCGCTTGGTAGCACTTGGTTTAGCTAACGTTGCGCCTACAACATAACAGTAAGGATAGGTCAACATATTGCCAAAAACGTTGAGTATAACCAATGCCAACATAATCTCACTGGACAACTGATCACAACCCCAACCTAAACATTATGTTGGGCCAACATCACCCCTGCAACCTAACACCAACGGTGCGCCAATGTAAGGTCAACGAAGTATAAAATGCATTATGCATATGTGTCACTAACTGTAGAAATTTGTTCGGGCCTACGTTGTGCCAACAATTTAAAAACAAGAGTTGGCCAACGTTTTGCTAAAAACGCTGAGTATATACAACGCTAATATAGGGACGATGGGCAACCGGTTATATGGCAACACAATGCCAATCAATTTTTGGCAAAAGAACAATCAAAACTGATTGTTCTTTTGCCAAAAAGTTCCTTGACTTTATGAAATGACTGTGCTGCTTTCTATCTTTTCTCAAAGTGGTTGAGCATTATATGGCAAATAAGACTATAGCTTCCAACACGCATTTTTCTAAAACAATAGAGAAGCTTAATTAAAACTTAATTATAAAGAAAAAACATTTCACTAATGAAAAACGCGCTAATATAAACGCTGGGTAGTTACGCATCAACCTAATACTTTATTTTAAGCTGGCCCCCGGTTTATTGCACAACTTGCCGTTTACACGTTCTATTTGAGGTCGTGGCTCAGTGGTTGGAGTGCTTGCTTTAAAAGCAAGAGGTCTAGGGTTCGAAGCATACTGTGAAAATATTGGTAAGAAGGGAGGCATTAACTTACTAGCTAAATTTTTTTCTGTGGTGCTCGGTGACAAGATTCTTTTTCTTGGGGTCTTCTTGATGCGCCTAAAACAAAACAAAAAAAGTATAAAAATTGCCTTAAAATGCGCTCTATATATTTTTTTACATTAAAAACATTAGGCAAAATTTTTTTTATCAAATCTGCAAACCGCGCAAAAATAATATCACAAAAATAAAAATTTTGAGCTAAATCCATTTCTACATTCCAAGAATATATTATATTTTCATAGAATGTAGAAATGAAATTAGCTCATTCTATTTTCATGGAATGTAGAAAATATTTCTCTTTATGCGCAACAAAGAGTAGTTTAATTTTTCGTTGTTTTCTCAAAGCCAGTTTATTCGGACTTTATGAGTGTTTTGCAAATGGGTTCCTCAAATGTTTTTATTGGTTTTCTTTACATAAAAAAAACAAATTATTTTAAAAAAAGATTTTTGTTTTTCACGTGTATTTTATTTAAACTGTTTAGCTAGTAATTTGTTTATTTCGTAAACCAAAGTCGTGAGTTTACTTTTTTATCATGATAGTTGATTGTTACAGTTTTCTAATTTGTTTTTTCTTATATTCTTTTAAAAACTTTTGAAAACTTACATTTTGTTTTGCTCACATTTTAAAAGCTTTACATTTTAAAATTGTGTGTAACAAAAATGAAAATATTATGTCCAAGCAATAGATCTTGCAGTACTCCACTCTAAACCATATTCTAATGCAATAAAAAGTTTCATAACACCACTTTTTGGCGACTACTTTTTAGAAAAGATTTAATACACTTTTAAGTTTAACCATTAGTTCCATAACCCAGGAGCTTTAGGGTCAAATATCTATGCAGAATAATATCGCATGCTATAGCAAAACCCATGAATGTTACATTAAACGCATAGTTTTCAAATAGTGAAGAAGTAATAAAACCCATTGTTTCTATCAAATTAGCTAAGCATGCTTTGTTGTTCACAAACCGATGTTAATTAGTTAAAATTAAGTGATTTTCTACAAATTGTTAAACCTAGCTTTATGTTGAATATTTGCGTGACTTTGACAATTTTTTTTATAATTTTTTTAAACGGACGCCAAGGAAATCGGACAAGTTGGCACTTTCAAATTTTTTATTTGAATAAGATTTCTTTTTGAACAAAAAACAACTTTTATTTGAATAAAGGTTAATTTGTACAGCTAATGCATAGGCATAAATTTTTATTACCAAAGAACTCACTCCATCTGGATCAATAGATTTGTTCAAGTGTTTATATGAGGGCAATCGTATATCTCAATGCTATTTTTTTCTGATTCAGTAGAAAATGGAGTTTGTAAAAAGTTTCCAGTTTAAAATAAATTTTTGATCAAAGAATTGCCTCTTGCATTTTTGTTGCTTCTAGAATAGCTCGCGTACTACGAATCAACAGGGGCCTACAAAAGTAATGAAAAAAAAAAAAGAAATTTTAAAGTGTTTTTCATTTCATCAATAAAACAATCATACAGATGCAGCATAATATTCATAATTGATAAAAATGTTTCTAATCAAACAGTATAATTAGATTTGCAAAATCAACTATAACATCTTCAAATGTCATCTCTTGCATTTCTTCATTTTCAATTGATAGCAGTGCCAGGGAGGATAGTCGGGCTTGTCCCATAGTTGAACGCAGATTTTTATAAGTTTTAATTTTGAAAAAGAACGTTCACCTTCTGAATTCGTGTCTAATATAGAGAGATAAATCCTAAAAGCGATATTAATATTTGGAAAACTTGCAACTAGTTTATTGTCTATTTGCAGATTAATCTTATCAGGCACCAATTTACCATCATTAAACATTTGAGAAAACAGCAAAAACTCATCGGTAAATTCGTCTTCGAGGTCTGATGGATACAACTGAATTAGTACCTTGATTTTAACCACTACTTTCTCACTCGACAAAGATCTGTTGTCAAGAAGAAAGTTAAACTTTTTGTACAATACTTTATAAGCTGCTCTGCATTTTTCCATCTCATTATTAAGTCTGTCTATGATAACGTAATACTAATGAATACGGAAATTATCGCTGGCACTAACATTTAAACTGGGATTACTTGTATCCATAACTTCGTCATCAAATCGCTTCCGTATTCGCTTGCGTTGTGTAGCTTCTTTGTAATCAGATTCTGTGAGATCTTTTGCCTGGCCTTCGAATGTTTTAAACTTACTGCGTGTATCATGAAAATACTGTATGAGACCATCGTACAGTTTAATGATGGTGCACAGCTCAATACCCGGCTCCTGTAAGGCTTTATTGATAATATTAGTCTTTTGAAGTAAATCTTTCCAAATCACACACATTAACGCAGTTTCAAAGTAGTCTAAATGTTTAACCAGTAATTTCGCTTCATGAACAGCTGCTGGTAGTTAATGATTGCTGTTAGTGACTTCAATATAGAATAGACATAAAGCATAAAAATAAAATAAAATATGTTAACCCATTTAAAGAGGGGGAAAACATTTAAACATATTCCATAAAACATTACATTTAACAAAACTTATTAATAATTTACAAAAACGTAATCATAACAAATAAAATACCTACCTAAATAAAATCGTACTTTTTAAAATAATTCGTGGAATTCTGAGAATTTCATTTTTAAATAAATGTAAACTATTGATAAATTTGAACAAACGTTTAAAACAAATAACAAACCATAGATTGCTGAATTTTTAATGGCTTTTCATGATCATAACAAAAGTAATGATAGTGAGAGAAATACAATTAATGAAATGGTTACAATTTAATTTCTTTAAGGCATAACATGTGTACAGATACAGAATAATCAAACAAACAGCGACTGTAGGTCCATTAACGACTTCGTACAAAAATTAAAAAACAATGTAAATTGAATAACATGTACATGACATTTAAATTGAAAGAAAGGCCTACAGCTACATTTTTATGCAAAGTGCCTAGAGCGTACGACGCTCCAAAAACGCCCTGAATATATATATATATATATGTATATATATATATATTAGGGTGGTGCTTAAAACAACTTTTTTGAGAAAAACCTGCTGGTACCCCCTAAATGTGTTTTATCTAATACAAAAACACTAGGTTTAAAATTTTTTTGAACAAAAAATATTTTTAGGGGTAGCTCAAGGCCCTCAAAAATTTGACGGGTCCCTAATATTTTGAAAAAAAAACTTTTTCTAAAGTATGTCAACCTGGTACTCAAAATAAGCAAAATTATATAAAAAATTTAAAAATGAAAATAATTTTTTATAAAAATAATTTTTTCAGGTATAAATGCATAAAAACTATTGTTTTTAAGCTGAAAATGAAAAAAGTCAATATTTTAAGGTTTTTTAAGAATAAGTTTTTTAGGCATGTTTTTTATGTAAAATGATTATTATTTTTAAAGTTTTTATATAATATCGCTTCTTTTGAGTACCAGGTTGACATACTTTAGAAAAAGTTTTTTTTTCAAAATATTAGGGACCCGTCAAATTTTTGAGGGCCTTGAGCTACCCCTAAAAATAATTTTTGTTCAAAAAAATTTTAAACCTAGTGTTTTTGTATTAGATAAAACACATTTAGGGGGTACCAGCAGGTTTTTCTCAAAAAAGTCGTTTTAAGCACCACCCTAATATATATATATATATATATATATATATATATATATATATATATATATATATATATATATATATATATATATAAAATCAGGCAACGAGCCTTTTACTAAAAAAAAGAGTTTAACTTTGTTCATAACAGAGAGCGGTTTCTTTATCATTATGTAATCAGTAGTTTTTTGCTTGCAAGATTGACAACTATAACTATATTTTTTGTTTCTAATTAGTCTAAACTTTTTATTCGTTACATATCTTTACTAAATTATTTACTAAGTTACAAAAATAATTCATTTGATATTTATAATTATAAAACTATATAACTAAAACTATATAACTAAATTATTTACTAACTGTTTACTAATTAATAACTAACTATAACTAATAATTATACTAAATTATTTACTAAATTACAAAAAACAATTATATCTCAAGTAGGCATATTTCAGAATAAAGTTCATTAAAACTGACACCATCAGTTGGTTGGTATTTGTGGATATGTCAAATAAAAATTGGCATAGCTAACTTTTTAATAAAATTTTGTTTGCTCAATTAATTTTACAACGGCATATTTTGTTTGTTACAACGAAATGTTTTTGTTAAAGTTATTAATTGTACAAACTTAACATCCGTTTTTTAAATAAAATATTCAATCCTGGATTGTAGTTAGTCATTATTTTCAGCAGTCAAGCCATCCATTTGCGTTTCTTGTTTTTAAAAGTATTTCTCAAAAACAGGGGAAGCTTCTGGCATGTTTGGTACCGATGGTATTTTTTATTCTTGTAGCTGGTCTCATTACATCAGACCAAAGAACATATTTACCATTGCTATGATATCCCTGAATGAATGGAACCTACCACTCAGGGTCGCTGAGAGGGTGGGGGCAAAGGGGGCATAGGTGCCCCGGGCGCCAAGATTATAGGGGGGCCAAAAAATGATAATTTTTTTTTAAGTGTCTATACGATGTTTAACTTTTAATTTAAATGTTTTGTGATTTTATATGATGTTTTTAAAGTATAATTTCATGAAATAAATAAAAAGTTTATTTAATTTACAACGTCGGTTTTCATGTTTACGGTTATTATGTTTAGTGCAGTGAGTTTGCTTTCAGAGAGAACTTTTTTTGTATATATGCATATTATGAAAGTGACGACGTATTGCATTTCGGCATTAAATCTCACAAAAGTGTTAACGTGCATATTTCAATATCAATCTATGGAATTGCATCTTAAACGTCAAATCTGCTTATTTAAAGGTAAAATAAGAAAAGAGAAGAAAGAAACAAAAAAGAATAAATTAAAAAATTTTTTATTTTTTATATCTAAAAAATTAAAAAAAGTAAATGTAAAACAAGGTTAAAAGATTTAAATAAGTATAAATTAAAAAAACAAAAACAAATAAAAACATAACACAAACTAAAAAAAAAAAATGTTCGAAAATAGTAAATAAAAAAGGTACGGCAATCAAACAAACTTTAGGGTCTGAGGTAGCGAGGTGGCGTGAAATATTGCGCTGTATTTTGGATGTAACATTGTTTCTCTCATCACGAAACATGACGTTTAGAGGTAAACTTTATTTTTACTTAGCTATTGATATTTATCGTATAAACTATCTTTTTTACAGATTCTTGTGTTATTAACAGGTCAAACATCTGTTCTTGGAGAGCAAGAAAATGGCAATTTTCTAGAAGCTCTAGACATGATTTCAAACCACAACAAAACGTTAAAAAATCATCTAGAAAACGTAGCTCGTCACCAAAAAGAGGGAACTTGAATGCAGGCACACTACCTCTCATGGGAATCACAGAATGAGTTCATACGTGAGTTTGCTTCATTGGTTTAGTGTGCCCTTTTAAAAGAAGTGAGAGAAGCTGGATACTTTACAGTCATTATCAATGGAACCCCAGACGTTTCACACACTGAACAGATCACTTTTATTCTTCGCTTTGTTTATTTCAGCTTTAACAAAAAAATTGGGAGGTAAAAGAGCGCTTTCTTTGCGTTGAAGACAAGGAGAAAAAAAAAGAAGTGGATATTAAAAAACTATTTTGTGGTGTTTTAATAAAAGTAAGTCTTGACTTGCAGAAATGCCGTGGCCAAGGTTACGACAACGGCTCAAATATGACTGAAATTTAACTTGGAGCACAAGCTTTAATTTTACAGAAAAATTCTTTAGCCCTCTATATTCATTGTGGTGCCCATAGTCTTAATTTAACTGGAGTACATGCAGTTGAATCATGTGCTGAGATGAAGACTTTTTTTGGTAATATCCAAGCTCTCTACGTGTTTTTCAGCTGCAGTCCGGCTAGGTGGAAGATTTTGCAAGAATTGACTGGAATTTCTCTTCATAAGCTTTCCGATACCAGGTGGTCAGCTCGGATTGCCGCTGTTAAGCTAATAGCAAAACGACCAAGGAAAATAAATACTGTCTTTAATCGTACTATAGAGGATCTTGACCTTACTGCTGACATGCTAAATCAAGTTAAGTCTTTGATAAAGTTTTTTACATGCTTTAAAACTGTTGTACTTCTGACCTTTTGTTATAAAGTTCTTCAAGTAGCAGATGAAGTAAGCCGTTTGTTCCAGTCAGTTTCACTTACAATAGATGACGAAGTTATTCTAATTCAACAGCTAATAAGCAATCTTGGCCGTATCCGCTCATTATGGAATAATATTTTGACTGAAGGGAAAGCTGTTGCAGGTGCTCTAGGCTTTGAAACGGAATTTTTGACAAAACGAAAGAAGAGAGCAAAACGGTATCACAATGAACTTGCAAATGCAGCTTTCTGCTATGAGAGCTCTGAGCATCAATTTGAGGTAAACATCTTCAACGTTGCTCTTGATCATTTTATTTATCAAGTTCAGTCAAGATTTGACATAGTAAAGAGTGTTTCCTTAAGATTTTCATTCATCTGGTTAAAAGACTAAGTACAAGATTCTCAAGTGATAAAAGCTCGTGAATTAGAACAGCTCTACGCTAATGATGTCAAAGAAGACATCTTCATACAAGAAATATTTCGTCTTAATCGTTTGAAGAAGTCTTCGTATTTTATTCCTGGAAACTCATTGAGCCTTCTCAACGAAATACATTCAAAGAGTCTGCAGCCTACTTTTCCATATGTATGCATTTTAATTCAAATTTTTAATACAATGCTAGTATTTGTTGCAGAGGGTGAGCGATCCTTCAGTAAACTTAAATTATAAACTATAACGTATTATTGTTGGGTCATTATGGGACAAGTACGCCTTTCGGATCTTATGATGCTTTCAGTGGAAAATGAGTTAGCTAAGACTCTGTCATATGATAATATAATAACAATTTTTTCTGGTAAAAAAAGCAAGAAAAGAGTATTTTATATAAGCCGTTTTTTCTTATTTGAGTTTCTGAAGAATGTCTAATAATGGGTTTATGTTGTATTTGTGTTGCTTAGTTGTATTTTTTTAAAGACGCAACGTTTGAAAATATTGCCGTAAAATGATTTTAACAGAAATAAACCACAATTAAGAAAATTCATTTTAAAACCATGTGCACTCACATATATGCAAGATTGCATATGATAAATTTTTTAGATTTAAATAGGGTTGTCCTCATTTTCGTCGGAAAGCGCAGCGCTAAATTAATTAGAATTTTTATTGCGTTCTCATAGGGGAAGAAACCGAAAATAGCAACCTCAGATTTGAACAACTACCAATGAAGTGTGGTAGTGTCAACTATCGCAAAATGAGGTTTGCTCAACGATATAACCTGCTCTTGTCTATAACAATAAATTTTCATATTGGATTTATTAAGCTTATTTTTGAAAAATAAATTTAATATTTTTTATTTAAAGCTATAAAAAAAAAATTAGTAATAACGTTATTTATCAAAACCTAAATAATCTAAAAATTGAAAGTTGAAAAACAATCTTTTTTCAATAAAAATCTTATTAATATAATAGTTGATTGAAACTTAGAGTTCTTTATTTGCTTTATTATTAAAAAACATTCCATAAGTGTTATTTTAACATGCAGAATTTATTTGTGATATGGTTCACCCGTTATTTTGTAATTGCAGTAAAATCATTTTTTAACGCCATTTGGCACACTATTACCCAGTAATATAGCATTAGATCAGGGCCGCCGAGAGCTGTCACGCTGCCTGGTACAGCAATCCTGATTGGCGCTCTTATTTACCAAATTTCCCCTATATTATATATGAAGGACCTTTTTTTTTTTTTTTAGGTACCTACATTTCATTTGGCGCCCCTTAGATATCTGCCGCACGGGACAAACTGTCCAGGTGGCCCTGCATAAGATCGGAGTTAGATTCGGTTATTTTTCGAGAAATTTTTAGTAACCTAACGCTTCAACTGAACCGATCTTCCTTTAAAAAACTGCAGAGTTATTATTTTTAAATTTATTATTAAATACCATAGTTTTAGAAAAGTGCAAAATTAACAAAAGTTTTTTAATATGTGCAAAAGTTAATCAATATGTGTTTTTATTTAGTTACGTTGTTAAAGAAAACTATGACTAAAAACTCCTAATTCAAATACTTCAGTTTCAAAGTTAATCAAGGTTAAATATTAACTTACTTATTATATTTATATATACTACCCATCTTATTTAAATACAGCTTGAAGTTAACAACTTAAGATTCAACGAATAATTTCTTTCAAAAACAAAAGATGTAAAATTGCAATATGCATAGATAATATTTATCAAGTTTTATTTTGTTTGGATTAACAAATAGCCATAAGCCAAGCCTTTTTATTTCCAATAACTTATTGTATTCTTTGTTTAATGAAATCTTTTATTATTGTATCTAAAATCACAGCTTTTCTAAAGATGGGAATTTGAGACTTTTACGATTTCACTTTCAAAATAAAAGTTTTAAAAATAAAATTTTTAAAGTTTTATGTTAAGGAAGAAAACATAAAGTTTTACAACGAAAAATTTTTTGTCTTGTTTTTTAAAGTTATTAAAATTTTTGTTTATTGTGTGCTTAACCGTTATTTACACTAAAATAGTAATGAAAAACCCTATTTTTTTGTATTTCTAAATAGAAGGAGTCACCCTAAAAATACACGTCACGAGTACGCTGCTGCCGTTTTAAAAGAGAAAGTTTTGCTATTTGCGATTAATATTACTTCATAAGTAATTAGTACATGTTTTGATTGTGTTTCGTATTTTATTTTATTTGTACCGGAATTTTTTTTCAGATTAAAACTAAACGTTTTGTTTGTAAAACTTGGTGTTTTGTTTCGCCTCCAACTCAATTCCTACCCAATTAACAACCAATAATTTATCTTCATAAATCAACTTTTCAAACCGATTGTTTCTTAAACCAATCAAAACTTGCCGTCAGTCAATGTCTATTTTTGTAACGATAATGAAGCAGGAGAAATACGGAAAACAGAATGGAACCTAACTGTAAAACTAACGAATAAAATACGTATATATACTTTTAAACTTTATGTATTTTAAATGTTTTACTTTGATTTTCAACGTTAATATGTTATTACCGATTTTAAGATCAAAGTGTGAGTTTGAAATCTGCTATTAGCAATAGACATAAGTTTGAAGCTGAAATATTTGTGTCACAAATGTCGCTTAATAAAAGAGTCTCTAAAAAATTATTAGAAATAGTATTCGTAGAAGTATACAAGTTCTGTGGAATGCGTATTTCTGTCTGGCGATAATCGACAGTGCAATTGTGATGCTGTTAACCAGATGTTTAAACAGTTCTTAATAAGCTTATTGGTTTTCTTAAATTTATGATTCTATTTTAATAATTTAGTAATACCTAACAAACAAATTATTAGTGGAATTACGCTATTTTTTATTGTAACGTTTATGGAGCATCAAGAAAGAAGTGAAAATTAATACATGGGTTTAATGGGCAATTAACTTCAGAAGAATGGTATCTGTACGCTTAAAAACTAAAACGTAGTATAATTATAAATAAACAAAAAATAACAAATTTTATTACTTAAGTTTTATATATGTATATATATATATATATATACACACGCACGCATATATATATACACATATATAATATATATATATATATATATATAAGTTTATATATATATATATAAATATGTATATGTATACATTTATATGCATATATATATATATATATATAATATATATATATATATATATATATATATATATATATATATATATATATATATATATATATATATATATATATATATATATATATATATATATATATATATATATATATTAGATTGATAGATAGAAATAGAAAAATGGATAGATAAATATAGGAATAGATATGCGGTGATATGTAACTGATCAATTATTGCAGGTTTAGTTATATTCTATTATATTCTTCCTATTCTTAATTTTACAGTTGGATTTGTATCCTTTACATATGTGCATTTCAGTATGTTGTCACTAATTAGATGCAATTATTTTCCAAGGTTTTTCTTGACCCTTTCTTTTTTCAAGATATTTAAAACCAATATACAGACTAAATCACCAATCATTATCATTTTGAGCTTTTGGTTAAAGTCCAAATTATAGCTCATTCACAAGATAAGATAAATTTCTTAGTCTTATTTCATGAACATGTATAACATTAAAGCCAGCATAGAAGTAGTGCAAATACCAAGTTAAATAAAGAAACTAAGTTAAAAGTAAAAATTATTTTAGTTTTGTTGTGGTTCTTTTTGAACAAGCAGTTTTAATGACATTTGTATAGTGTAATAGTAACTTATACAAACTGCAAAGAATGTTTAGGAACTTTAGAGAAATAAAATGGGATCTTAAGAGTCCAAAAATTTTCTACTTCTATCTTCTATAAAGAACTGTCCTTTAAATAATGTCCTTAAAATACTTTTAAATCCCAATTAAGTCCTTTCCTTATGAAGTCTTGAAGTTACTCAACATTTTTTAAGCTCTTAGACTTTAGAGTCCAGAAGAATTACAAATTTCTATTCTAAGCCCTCTGATATTTTTTTGAAACTTCTTATCCCAATCAAATAGTTTACAGTAGGAAGTAAAAATTTAACATTATTTGTAAAGGAACTTGGATAATACTCTTCTCTTATACTAAAACATTTCTCTTTTTTTTAATTGTTTGTTTTATTTTACATCATCATAGTTTTTATTATCATCAACATCATAGTTTTCATTATCATCATCATCATCATGATCAAAAAATGATATTTAAAATTTAATGTTTTAAAAAATTTTATGTTAAATATTAATTTACATAATATTAGCCGACATCTGTGTTATTAAAGCTCAAAACTTCTATCAAACTTATAAATAAAAATATTTTTTTTGCCTAAATCAAGTTTAAAACTGCTTACATAATATTTTTTCCCTATGCTTTGCAATAGCAGTTTTATCAGAATTGAAAAGTTTTCCACAATTCAGCTAAAGACCTTTTGCTTTTAATGTTATCAAAATATGTATATTTGTGTGTTTTATTAAAGATATATTTATGTGTAAATATATCTTTAATAAAACTTTTTTAGATATATTTATGTGTAAAAGTTTTTACTAAAATTTTATAATTTTAGTAAAAACTTTTACACATAAATATATCTTTAATAAAACACGCAAATATATAATATTAATTTTAAAAATTGCCTTTTTGTGGCTCATTGTTTTTTGTATCTCTTGTTGCGCTTACAACATCTTAAGCATCTTATTGCTTCTTATACTTTAGCGTTGTTTCGTTTCTAAAGTATTGCTCTGTATTATTTTCTATATTACTCTGTATTGTTATGTTTTTTATTTTAAGGTAAGCTCTGTATTCTTTCTGTGTTATCATTTATTTCAAAATTCAATCCATTTAAAATTTTTGAAAGTCTATCCATTAAGTTTTTTGTTTTTTTCATAATGCTCATGCTCTAGCAGGTCACTTTCCAAAAATGAACAGAATTTGAACACCTATATATTAGAGGTTTCAATTTATTTTTATATATTTATTTAAGTGGTTTATGCAAAAGTTGTTTATTTAAGAGGTTTATGCAAAAGTTGTTTTAAATCATTATAGGTTTTAATGATTTAAAACAACCTTCTTTGCATTATATATACTTTTTCTTTGTCTTCTTAGCTTTATGTTTTAATTTTTAAAAATATATGAATTTTATATATTCATAACAATGAAAATAAATTTTCATTCATAACAAAGTTATAAATAAAAATTTAAACAAGATACAATATATATATATATATATATATATATATATATATATATATATATATATATATATATATATACATATATATATATATATATATATATATATATATATATATATATATATATATATATATATATATATATATATATATATATATATATATATTGTATCTTGTTTAAATTCTCATTCATAACTTTGTAATAGTATAAAATATATTAACATAGTTGTTAGCAATATAATGAAATATGTTATTATATAAATATAATATAATTATTATTTTTTTTTTTTAATTATTAATTGGTCTTATATTTGTAATTATTAATTATATTTACATTTTTTATTTATAATGATCAATTTTGAAAATTTTATTTGAACTTGTAGGCGGAAAATATTTTTTAAACAAATAAAAATAATTAATTCATTAGTCTTTCATTATTTTTTGATCATGATTATGTTTTAATCTATATCTATACATTTGTATAATTCAATTTTTAATGATAAAATATAGAATTGTTTTAAAAGTAATAACAGAAAATATCCCCTCCTCTGAGTTTTTGTGGTATTGTAATTATATTTTGATTGTTCTTTTATAAAAAAGAACTTTCTTAAAAGCACTGTTTGAAAACTTCTAATCTATTCAAATTTGCAATAAGAAGGTTGGTACACACTTTGTTATTGAAAACCATAGTAGGACTTAATTTTTCTATTATTTTTCTATTAGCAACACTCCAGACTTAAGCTTTTATAAGAAAGTTGATCAAGAAAATTTTCCAATAAGCTAATTGTGCCAAGCAATAATGTTTAGTTTTAAGTAGTTTAAATTTTTTAATATTTTCAAAACACCATTTGAAAGTAAAATTATGAAAACAAATAAAGTGCTTTAGTTGTGAAATTTTTTTTAACACTTTTTTTTAATCTTGTTATTTCAGCATTAATTGTTAAATATGACAAGTTGACAAATTGTTTGTATGTTATGAATTTTAAGTTGAATCGTTTATACTAAATGTATGTTTTTCTTTTTTGAATGGCACGAGTGTTTTTAAAAATAAAAATAAAATAACAAAACAAACAAAATGAAAAAACCTTTTATTTTGTTTGTTTGGTTTTTTTTATGATAAAAATATCTTTGTATTGTATATTCAACATTAATTTGCTATATGAAGATGTTCTTTATACACTCATAATTAAGTTTGAGTTTTACTATAAGATTAACAGATATAATTGCATAACTAAAGCTTGTTTATACATTTTGCATGGCTAGATTTAGTTTTCAATTTGATTAATGTTTTTTGTGTTTGTTTAATAACTTATTTAAAAGATAAAAAAAAAAAAAAGATAAAAAAGTAAACTGACACAAATATTCTATACAGTTTCTTTTAATAAATTAGAAGAGTATGTTGTAATAGTTTTCAATTCTTATTTATGATTCATAAAAAAATGCAACATTTTGTACTGATATGTATTTTCAAATTTATGATGTTTGATTGACAGTTTCTTGACATGGTTTCCTTTGACTAATTGAAGTTCATATCAATTTCAACCGGGGGACTAAAACTATTGTTGCATTTTTCTTTCAAACATGTATTAAAATGTTCATTCATTTTTAACCCCCTTCTTTGATTGTATTTTTAATGCTTTTTTTTGTTTTCCTATACAATTGAAATAACGTTAAGATTTAAGTGTGCCGGCAAATCTTAAGCTCAGAGTTTTGATTAAAGTTTATTACATGGTAATGATTGAATGAAGTCTTGTTTTATTGTATTTTGGATTTGTGTGTTAGTAGATTTAATATTAGGCTTACATATTATTGTTATTAAAACTAGGGATATTCAAAATAATAAAATATTTGACATTAGTTGTAAAAAAAATTTTTTTTCTGAATAAAGTGTTTTCTTGTGTTTAAAGATCTTTTTGTAAAAAAAAAAAAATTGGCAGCTGTTTTAGATGAGTTAATATTCTTTTTTTATTTCTCTTCTTATGCATTATGTATTTAGCACATTTTTTGTTTTGGTTCTGTTTCACATAAACCTTTTTCAAAAAAGAATATTCTATTCTTTTTTTTCCTATAGTGTGTTTCAAAAGTTCATGATAACCAGTTTTTGTTAGAGATTGAAGTTAAAAGTGTTTTGCTTGGTATGGTATGCACATGGTGTTTATCATTTCTTTACATAACAACAGTGTTTTCATTCATGATTTATATAATTATATGATTTATATTTAATATGCAAATAGTGTCATGTACCAGAATGAGTAAAAAGTATTTGTTATTTTAATGATTGTCATATTTAATCATATTAATATCACAAAGCAGAAACTTTAACGATATATCATCAAAAAAAAAAGTTTTGTAAATTTTTTATGAATGTTACTTTTATTTTTAATATTTAAATAATAATTTAATAATCTTGATTTTTACAAATGTTGTAAAATAGTTATTCACTTACATATTAATAGTAATTTATACATTCAACTTGAACAATAATTAACTAAAAAATGGTTTTATGTCGGATTAAGGAAAAGTTTTCTCCCTGGTTTTTATTTCACTAAGCAGAAAAGTTCGCATGTAATTTTATCCATTTGTTTACTTAATTTTATGTTTGTTTGCATATTTAAAGGATCTTCAACAATAAGAGATTTTGTTAATATCTAAATAGGTTTTATTTTTTAAATCATTTTGTTTTTAATTTTTTTATGAGTTACATAATATATATATATATATATGTATATATATATATATATATATATATATATATATATATATATATATATATATATATATATATATATATATATATATATATATATATATATATATATATATATATATACATAAACATGTTCATTTAGGCTTTTTGTGTTTTTGAAAATCATTTTTGTATTCTCTTTGTGCAAAAAAGTTTTATTGTCAAAAAAGGTTCTGTATAATCTGTTAATTGTGAAATTCTTAGTCAGATTATTTAGTCATCTCAAATGTGATTTTATGTTTTTTGATTGATAATATTGACTAATATTACTAATTTTTGGCTTATAGTTTTGGACTGGTATTCATTTTAGTCATTAATATAAAAAACTAAAAAAAAGTATTTAAATGCAAAATAGCCTACTGAAAAATGAGTTGAAACATGAAAGATTACAAGATTTGACACTTAAAATTTAAATAAAAAAGATAAAGTAGAGATTTTAGTATTGTCAAATTCAATATCAAATAGATATTAAATAAGGCACTAGAATTACTCAGCACAATTAGGATTACTATTTAAAAAGCGAATAACTTTATTAATAAAAAAATACTATTAATTTTTGATCCATAGGATCTGTGTTATATTTAAATAATTTTAGCTATCTTCTCACATAGTAACAAATATAATATAGTTAAAATAAAAATATGATATTTTTACTACCCTGGGTTTCCATCAAAATATCTTACACAAGAGGTTGTAAATTCTGTGGCTTTCATAGTATCAAATGCACTTCATAGATCTGATGCTTTTGGCAATATTCTATGCATGAGTTATTTGTGTTATTATTTAATAGTTTTATTTATATATTTCAAAAAAAAAACTTTTTATAAATTTATTTTTAAAAATCTTTTAATACACTGAATATTTTGTTAGAATAGTAATGATAAATAATGATTAATGATTATATTGGAACCATGGATGGCTTTGACTTTTGTAATGAAAACTTTGGTGGAAATATGTCTGGGTTCAATAATCCTATGCCTCCTCAAATTCCTGTTGGACCACCTTTGCAGCAAGCATTAATTCCAGGTATTATTTTTATTATTAAGCTGATTGTTAAGCATGTTGAATATTTCATATATTAAATGTCCAAGATAAGCATCAATGTGTGTTGATTCATGATGAAATAACACACGGTAAAGCAATATACTGTTTTATTTTAATTATTGTTCTTTTAATTTTTGTTGCCCACATGATTTTTTTTTACCTATTTTTTCTCTATCATATGTAAACAGCAAAAGTTATGTACTTTGATGGCATTTGATTTTTTTTTACCTGTTTTTTCTCAATCATATATAAACAGCAAAAGTTATGTACTTTGATGGCAATTGAGTTATTTATTAAGCAATCTCTTAAGAATTGCATTTCAAAACATAAAAGTTAATAAGTGTGTTTAAGTACATATTATTTTGATTAAGTCAATATAGTTATAGTTATGTGACTACATGTAGATACAGTGTGATGATTGCAGCTAAATTACTTCCAGTGTAGTGGTCTCACTTATGATTGAGACATTACAATGATCTTGACATTAAAAACAATAACTTCATATGCAGGTTGTGTGTGTCATTTCAAGACAGTGATGATTGATGTTCTGTCTCAGAAACTTTTTATAAAGAAATTAGTTTTAATTTATTTTTTGATGTTTTGCTTATTTATTTTTTTTTTTTTTTTTGATTTTGTAGACAAAGGAGCTATTAATAGTAAAGGTTGGTTCTGAAAAGATGTGTTTGAATCTAAAGGGCTTATTTTTTTTATTATTAGTACAGATAATATGAACAAGGCAAATTTTTTTAAAGCAAGCTAATTTTTTTTTTTTTTTTGCATGCGTGTTCAAAAGATTTATTCAATTAGGAGGTGAACAAATTAGTATAAAATACAAAATATTAATATAAACTTTATAAACAAAGTAATAATAAATAAAATATATTTAATAATTAAAAATGTTTTTTTTTTTGTATTTGTCACAAACTCAACAAAATTAGACATAATACAAAAAAATTTCAGTTTATTAATAGCTTTTTGAAGCAGTTATAATTTTCAAAAGTTGATATCAATTGTTTCAAGATTTTTATTTCAAGAATTGTTTTGGAATTAAATTGGAAAAAATGGATCAAAATATTTTAAATTTCAACAATTTTTGTTAGAATAAAAAAGAAAATTGTTATAATCTTTGTTAATGAATATTTTTTCTTTTAAAAAATTATAAGCTATTTAAAAATAAAAAATGATAGTTTGCTATCAATCCGTCAATGCAGTAGTGGTATAATATTAGAGTGCTCGACTCATAAGCGAGAAGTTCCAAGTTTGATCCTCACCATGTCCCTGGTAGTACCACGCTAAACTTGTTTCTCTCTGCAACTGCCTTGTTCATCAAGGTTTGTGTTTCAGAGTTACTAGAGTAGAGAGATGGTTGTAACCACAACTAAATTAGCCTCCTCTACTGTAGTGGGTTTTTGTAGTGATATTTTGTAACAAGTTAGGGAAAGGGAGAGGGGATCTAAAAAGTTGTTTTTTTGTGTGGCGTATATACTATTATTGAAATTGAAAGAAGTAAATTTTTTAATAAAATTTAAAAATATAATTAAAGTATTAAAACAATGACAAATGTATAATAAGGGTAGACATTTATTTGTTGTTGTTTTGTATTTATATTTATTTGTATTTACACAAAAATGCTTTATTATATTTATTAATTATGTAACAATTTGATTTATTATTTAAAAAAAACATTTATTATTAAAATTTATTATAATATAAAATAATTTATAGTTACATAATATATGTGATCATGATATTGGATAAAAGTTAAGAGGTAAAAATGAGTTTGCAAAAATTAAGTGTTTTAAAACAAATAAAAATTTTTAAAATTAAATTATTATTTGATTTGAAAATTTGTGCAATTTGTAGTTATTTTTTAGCAGTTGATAAAATAAAACTATGATGTTTCCAAAGATGTTACTGATAGATAAAAGTTAAAATCTAAACACAGTTTAAAACCTCATTTTGTTAAGCAGCATCACATTATTAGTTTATTTTATAAGTTTGCTGTCTGTATAATGCCTTAGTTTACTTATTAAGTTATTAATGACTTAATTTTTCTTTCCACCATATTGTTTTTCACCAATTTAACGTGGTCCTAAATTTTGTTGTTTCATATTTTATTTTGAGTATTTTATCTATAATTGGTTTAAAGTTTATTATTTTGATTTCTTTAAACATTTTTATTATTCTGATTACTGAATATAGATTTTTGTTGTTTATTTGCAAGTTTAAAACTAATTAAATTTAAATTTGTTGGCTAGAATTTAAAATAGATAAAGATTTTTATTTATTCATCTTCATTTTCAAACTTTTTTTTCATGTCATTATAATTTAACATATTTCATCAATTGTGTTTAGATAACATGCAAATAAGCATGGAGCAACACATTCAACAAACCAATGAAAGATTACAGTGTATTCGAAGAGACTTGAATAATATAAGTACATTTCAGGGTGCTGCAAGAGAATTGTTAGACTGGTGTGGAGATGCTCGTGCATTCCAACCTTCTTACGAGCAAAATTTAATGGCTTGTTTAACGGTATTTCTTTTTAAAAATCTATTAAAAGTGTTGGTAATGAAAAATTTATGCTTAAAACATAATCAAATATGAACATACTATAATTTTGAATAGTCTTAAATACATTTGATTATAACATGTTTAGGTAGTAAACAAAGTTGCTTCTATGCAAGGCTATGATCTCGATTTAGGTAGTCTTGTTTTACTTTACTTTTTTTAAAGTATGTTTATGATTTTAAGATTTATTTTAGACCTCAATTTAAAAGTTTAATTTAAGTTTTTTATGTTCCTAAGCTATTATTTTTGTGAACTTAATTTGTTTAATTTAAAAGCTTTTTAATGACTTTATATTATGTACTATTCATGTACTTAATTTAAAAAAGTCAGAATATGTATAGAGTTATATATCTCTTAGGGGGATTTTCTAGAACTATTTTGTAACTTTAGCACATAAATTTTTGTTGAAAGAGAAGCTAGTTACATCATATGCAACTTGTTTCTCTTTCACCATATATGTCTTGTGCATTTTGAACCAAAAGCATAAATACTAAATTTTTGAAAATGTTTAATTCATAATTATTAGGAGCAATGATTTCCTTGAATAATGGCAAGGGCATATCTAGCTAAAATATTATAGCAATGATTTTCTTTTATTTTCTTTGCATAAAGTGATTCTTCTAATTAAGATTTTCTTCAAATATTACTCCTAAAATTTCAATTTAATTTATTCTCTTTATGTTAATTATTACCAATGATGAACTGAGGAAGTTGAAGTTGTGAGTTATCAAAGTTAAATCGTTTTATTTCTTTAGTTTTTTATTTTTAATTTTTATAAAAAAATTATTAAATTTTACCTCAGTTTCAATTGTAATAAAACATCCTTCCTTGTTTCTGTTAGTATTTTATGTGGTAGAGAGTTTTTAACTGTTTTTTATGTAACTTTTTTTTTTCTTTTTTCCAAAACTTTTTTTATACTTTTAATGTTTAGTTTTTTTTTTGTATAGTTTTTGTTTCTTTTAGGAGGATATAATAAGATCTTTCTCACAGATAAAAGATTTTTCTTGTTTTATAGAAAATAAGTAAATAAATAGATCCTATATGTTATTTGCATCATTGTACTCGGTTAAGAGTTTCCAATTTATTTATAGCAAAAGTTTGTGAAACTTTAGAATATATTGGTAATTGATTTGTCTTGTTTATGTTATGAAAGAATTACTTATATAACAAGTTAAATTATTGGTTGTTAATTAAAGTGTTTATATGTTTGGTGATGTTGGTTTTTATTAATGACTTAAGGTAATATTCATTCTAGATGTTTTTCAAATTAGTCAAGGTTATCATTAGTTGGTCTGTAAAATGTATAGAGCAGTTATAAATACATTTTTTAATGTTTTTTTTTTTTATATTTTCACCTGCTAAAAGTTCGCAGTCTGCGTTATTTGTTTTATGAAATTATTTTAAAGTTTAAAGTCATAATTTTGACAAATACTATAACAATAATTTTTTTTAAATTTTTGTATTCTTGATACCTTCAAAATTTTAGTCCATAAGTATTTATAATTGTTTGAACACAAAAGTCTCCTGTATTTCCTTATTGTTATACTATATAAAGATTTATTTGTTGAATAATTATTAAGGTTACCGGAAGTTTTCCTCAAATTAAAAAAATATTTCCTCTCAATAATCAAAAAACCTTTCAACAACCCTTAAAGCAACTAGAAACTTAAGTTAATTGAAATGAAAATGAATTTGATTTTTGAATAATTTAAAAAAAGAAAAGTTAATCTTTTCTCAACAAAATCATAAATAAGACTTTCATAAAAATATGATCTAGTTAATAATAAAGTTAGTAGTAATAAAAGTAATAAAAATAGTATTTAATTACAGGATACAGACTTCTTGCTATATGCGCAGCACATAGAGAAAAACTTTCAAGGAAGTCTGCAGGCAAGTTATATATGGATAGTGTTTTAAAAATTTATATGACAAGTTATTGATTGAGCAATTTTATAGTACTCTTTTAAAATTTTTTTAAATTTTTTATGAGTTGTATTCATTTGTTTCATTATTAATTTTGAAGTGTAAAAATTAAGAATTCACTTATTCAAAAAATAATTATTAATTCAAATAATATTATTTTAGGAATCTTGTCATGCTGGTGTGAAGAGTTAGGAAGACTTTTGTTATTGAGACACCAAAGAAAGTCTGATGTTAAAACTTTTGCAAATTCTTTAAAAAATATATCTACTCCATTGCCTCATGGGTAAGTTAAATTTTAAATTCAATATTTGTTTGTCAATTTTTTATTTTTATTTTTTAAAATAAAATATAAAAAGTTTAGATTTTGATATATATTTTTTTATATAAAGTAATCCAATTTAGAGACAACACAATTATTTGGCAAGGAAATAACCCCCAACCTAATCTCTCAGTTTCTGTATCTTCTGTTTGGGGTGTTTCTTCACCCACAAATGCTAATTCAATGATCTCAATGCAGCAGTCTAATCCAAATGGGATGCCACAAGGAAATATTGCAGGCATAAATCAGGGAATAAATCAGCAGTATGATATGAGTATGCAACCAAATATGAAGTTCTCAAATCAAGGTTATAATCCTGAAATGCAAAATATTCAAAACTTTCAACAAGGTAACATGAATTTTAATCAAAATAAACCTCCTAATAATCAACAAAATATATATCAACAATATCCGCAAAATCAAAATAATTCGAACTGTCCTCTACCTGCTGCAGCTGCAGCTGCTGCTGCTGTTGCAGCAGCTGCTGCTACTGCTACCGCTACTGCAACAGCAACTGCAACTGCTTTTCATATGCAAGAACAAACTGATCAAATGAATAACAATGGTGATTATATAGATACTCAGCAATATCAGGTTCATGGACAAACTCAGTTTCAAGCAAGAGGTGGTATCAATTCTGGAATAAATAGACAAAATTATAATAGACAGCCTATGGGTTCTTACATGGGAGGATCAAATATGGGAGGATCAAATATGGGAGGACCAAATATGGGAGCACCAAATATGGGAGCACCAAATATGGGAGGACCAAATATGGGAGCACCAAATATGGGAGCTGTTAACATGGGAGGACCAAATATGGGGTACATGACAGTATCATCAAATTTAGCACAGCAAAGGAATCTTTATGGGATGCAACAGCATCAAATGGGAGGTAAAAGCTTTTAAATTTATATATATGTAATATATATAATATAAAATATATATATATATATATATATATATATATATATATATATATATATATACACACACACACACACACACACACACACAGTGTTGGCAAAAAGTATTGCAGCTTTTATAAATTTAACATTTTTATAAAATTCGAAATGAATTTGATGTTTATATATCATATATTCATGCAAAAATGATAAAACCAAACAGTAGCACACTATGTAAACATAAAATTATGACGTCATCACCATCAGCATCACCACTGAAACATTCTGGACAACCCAGAGTAACAACAACACGTGATGACTCTCTACTCTGACGCTCTGCAGTCAGAAATCCAACTTATTCAAGTCTTCAAATAAAACTAGATACTGGTTGCGGTGCGAGTACACGAACAATATGTGACTGACTGTGTTCGTTTAGTTTAAGAGCTCGACGTCCATCCTGCAAACCTCTGCTATCTAAGCAGCAGCGACAGAAAAGAGTTCAGTTTTGTAATAAATATAAGGACTGGAATGCAGAAAGATGGTCCAAGGTGTTGTTTTCCAACGAGTCTACATTTCTGCAGTTTAGATCTGTCACGCAGTATTTAGATCTGTCACGCAGTACACCAGTTGGATCTCGAGATTATTCGTTACACCGACAGTTCAACATTCACCCCAAATTATGGTTTGGGGATGTTTTTTAGCAATGGGGCGAGGGTCTCTATACTTTATACCAGCGAAACAGATGGTAAACTCCATTGAATACCTAAAGATTTTAAATTCAAAACTACCCCTAGCCATGTGCTTGCATTGTTGTGAACTGTTTCAACAAGACTCGGCACCATGCCATACCAGTCGAGTTGTAAAAAAGTGGCTAACTGACCATCGGATTCAAGTTCTGGACTGGCCAGGCAATAGTCCAGATTTGAATCCCATTGAAAATCTCTGGATAGTGATGAAAAGAAAAGTAAGAAAATATTACAGTAAAAGCATTGAAGACAACATTTAGAAGGTGTGGTGCACCGAAATCACCCTGGATCTTTGTCAAAAACTGGTTCAGTCGATGCCAAACCGTATCAAATGTGTGTTGAAAAACCATGGACAGCCTTCTAAGTACTAGATATTTATATATGAACACTTCTTTTAATAATATTCTTGTGTATTTGTTTAATGTGTGTTTTTTTTTAAAGTTGCAATACTTTTCCCCAACACTGTATATATATATATATATATATATATATATATATATATATATATATATATATATATATATATATATATATATATATATATATATATATATATATATATATATATATATATATATATATATATATATATATATATATATATATATATATATAAATATGTGTGTGTGTGTGTTGATTATTGTTTTTTTTTAAAGTCCTGAAAAGTTGTGTGTTGATTCCAGTAATAATAGTTTTAAATTAGAGAATGATAGGTTTAAAGGTTTAAATAATTTTTATGTTTTTATATTTTCTCACCAGGAAAAAAAAGAACTTTTGAAACGTACGATCTGCATAAATTCTATTGAGTTATTTAGAATTTGTATAGAATTTAATAGAATTTCTCTAAAATGTCCAATAATTTGTATAGAAATTGTTATAGAACTGTTTTACATATATTAAAAAAAAAAAATTATAGCAATTTCTATAGAAACTCTATAAAACTTTGAAAATTTTCTATAGGCTGTATGTTTCAAAAGTTTATAGAAATTCCATAGAACATATTTTGCTGTCTTTAATTCTAGTGCATTGAATATGTTTTATACTAGTACTGAATACTGTTTACTACTGAATACTGTTTAGTGCTGACTACAGTTTACTACTGAATACTTCAATTTTCAAATTTCTTAGTGTATACAGATATACATTTGGTAACATTTTTTGCTCACCTAATTCTATATGGTTTTTTCCACACAAAAAAGAGAAAAACGATTCCGTTTCAACACCAAGATTTGATTGACGTAGCAGCACTACTACTACTACTACTACTACTATATATATATATATATATATATATATATATATATATATATATATATATATATATATATATATATATATATATATATATATATATATATATATATATATATATATATATATATATATATATATATATATATATATATATATATATATATATATATATGTGTGTATATGTATGTATTTGATAAAAATATTATATTTACATCATATTTTTCCTGACCTTTTTTTTGAGAATTAAGCAATATTTAATTTTAGTGTTAAAAATATGTGTTATCAGCATTATTTCATGAAGTGAAAGTCATTTTTGATAATACCATAATCTAATAATTAATCTATGAAACTGAATTCTTTCTAAAAACTCTCTACTGGGGCAGAACTCTCTTCTGGGGCAGAACTCAAAATGTAAACACAAAGAATTCCTGCACAATATACAAACATGCAACAAAATCATCAAATCATCTAAGCTGTGAAAATTGTAAAATAATGTATCATGAAAGGTGTAGCCCCATCGATTTTTTTGAGGGTGCGGTTGTGCCTCACAATGGGGGCAAAACCCTTTTTTTCACTAAGTGTAATTTTTGTGTAATAACATTTTCAAAACCTGTTTAATTTTTTTCTTAAATGCATCAACTTAAAGCTTAATGATGTGGTTATTGAAATAAACTGCTAAAAAAACACATTTTGTTTTTATTTTCATATAACATTATTCCAAACGTTACGGGGGTGGTTATGCCCCCACTTCCCCTATATTGTTAAATAGCCTTTAAATTTTAATACTGCTTGACATTATTGAGGCATTGAGTTAATAAGAATCTCATTAGTAAGAACAAAAATGTCTTGTAATGCTGAGACATTTTGTCTACATGTGGCTTACAATTGTCAACATTGTGTTCAATCAAAAAGACAAAATGCAGAAGCATTTTGTTTTTTCCATGCGACAGCATAACATTAATATAAATAAACGTTATAATCCATTTGATTATATCTAAATATACATTCCGATTCATTACTCCTTCAATGCAATGAAGTTGACCAATAAAATCATAACTGAAAGATCCCGAAACCATTACATTGCCGCCACCTTGTTTAACTGTAGACTTTTGATACTTGAGAGCAAATCCTTCATTTTTTGGACACTTGGATACAGGAATGCCAAGAGTCCCAAAAAGGACTCTGGATTTGAATATCACAAAAAGATTACTTCCTCGTTTTTTGTATCCAGGAGCTCTAATGATATAAAAAATGCTTAAGAACTTCTATTGGTTGAAAAAATTAGGACTTTTAGGTTAGAAGAGCAATCAATTTTTGAACCCGGAATCTTAAAGTATAATGGCGGCAACAACATTGGGAGTCCAGGACTCAAGGATTAAAAAAAATATGTTATAAGTCAATAAATTTCATGAGTTTTTTTGTATAGTAGATCATAAGTCAACCAACATGTTCAGAGCTTCTGGAGACCAAGAAAAAAGTAGAGATATAAAGTCGGAGTCCTCTTAGGACTACGCATTCCTGCTTAGATATCATCACTACTAAACATGCTAAATTTTGAATTGTCACTGATATACTTTGGATCATTCCTCTAAAGTCCAATTTAAATGATCTTTTGCGAATTTCATTTGGGCTAAATGATTCTTTGATAATATTAATGATTTTCTTGGCAGGATAATTACCATACAAATTATACTGATACAGACGTTGTTTTATAGTGTCTAGTCTGCACTTAACACCATAATTCTTTGTTTAAATGCCATTTAATTTAACAACGCTTTTTGATGTTTTTGATGTTTTGTAATAATATTTGGTCTTCATATATGCATGCATGTAGTTGATAAATTATTTATATTCTGTTGTTTATTTGTTTTGAATTAGTTATTATTATGTTATTATTTGTGTTACGTTTTGTAGTTGATTTATACATTGATTATTTTCTAAATTTAAATCATTTAAGGAAATTTAAATGCCCAAATGGTTGCCTCACCTCAAAATAACATGATGAGATACCCAGTTTCTCAGATGAAAAGATCTCCTTCAATGATGGGAGGTTACAATCAATCTATTATAGGAAATAGTCCTATGACCCCTGATACCACATCTCCTCAATTTGGTCCGTTTGTTCCTGGAGTAGTAAAAAATCCTCCTTTTTCTCCACAGTATCAGACACAAGGTTATAATGCATTTGGTCATGGAGCAAATATGATTAGTATGGGAATGGGTAATTCAATGACTGGCAATATGGGAATTCCACCTCAGTATAACAGTATAAACAACATGAATGTAATGTCCAATATGATAGGACAGCAACCATCTGATTCAATTCAATCTGTTGTGAGGAGAACTAGGCCCAGTACTCTGCAATATCCTCCTGTATCTGCTGCTCATTCTCCTAACAATAGGTATGTTTAAATCAAAATAACATTTTAAAATTTTGATAAAGTCTTTAAAAACATTCTTTACATATAAATTTTTAAGCAAATATACATTCTCTTTTTTTGTTTTATTTTTGTTTTCCTATTTAAACATACTTTGGGGAAAAGTTATAAAAGATTCTGTAGGTTATGCAGGCTTGAACAGGATTGGCGTGCAATCGAACTCTACTGCTGACTGCGCAAATGATTTTTTTTTTTGTTGACAACTTGACCACAACAGAAATACACTGAAAAAAGAAATGCTAAATTAAACTTAAACTGCAAAAAAAAACAAAGAAAAAAAAACTAATGAAAAATAAAAACAGTTCCTTACAACGAAGAAAATATATAAGGTTCAAAATAAAACTTAAAATACTCAAACTCAAAGCGAAAATTACTTTCTGTTACGTTTTTGATTGCGTTTAAAGTAAATTACTTTAAAAACATCTTTTGAAACATTTTATTAAAGTTACCCAAAACGTTTTTACAAATTACTTCTAATAATTATTTGATAAATGAACAAATTTTATTTAAGTTATTGAAATGAAAAAAATATAATATTTTTAAATTGAATAAGCATTTTTCCCAAAAAGCTGCAAAAAATTGTTTAAAAAATAACAAAGTCTTTTTAAAGTAGTATTAAAAAATAGAAACAAAAAAAAAAAAATGAAGCAATGAAATCATTCCGTTGCAATGGGAAGATTTAATTTAACTTATTCATAATTTAAAGTAACTTAAAAAATAATCATTTAAAAAATTTTTTAAAAGACATGGAAAAATAGTTTCAAACCTTTAAATTTATCATTAAAAATACCTACACAAAAGAAATTTAAATATATCATTTTTTTGTTAATTTACACAAATTGCGTTTATTTTAAACAATCATTATAATTAATTTTGTATTTTATTTAAAGTCTTTGTGTAAAATAAAAACTTTTGAAAAGATTAACCATTAAAAGTTATTCATAATGTAACGATTTTTTTATTGCATTTAAGTTGTTAAGACATCAAAACATTGTGGTCAAATTGTAAAGAAAAAAAGTTATAAGTATGATCAGTTACAGCGTGCAATCGCATGCTTTAATTGGGGCTATGGGACTTTTCCCCTTTCATCTAAAATAAAGTCTAATCAAGTTTTAAAATTTTAAGTTACTAATTTTGAAATAAAACGATAACAAAGATTAAATAAGATTAGCTAAAAAAAAAAGTTCAAATATCTTTTAAACTTTTATTTTTAAATGTTGAAGTTAAATATTTAGAAGGCTTAACCTCCACTAAAGATGTTTTAAACTAGTAATGTCTAAAAGATGATTTTCTTAACTAGTTTAGACTAAAAATAAATAATTATGTTAACACATAGTGCAGTACACCTGTGTATCCGTCAGATCCAATAGGATCTTGTATGATTTTTTCCCAAAGGAAATTACCAATTATTGTAATGTAATGTTGTTGATTTCATATAAGATTTATGACAATATGTGACTCAACTACTGGCAACCCTGAAGATATCAAGCCTCAAAACATTGGTCCTATGTATCCTGTAAAAAATGTTTTAACTCCTAACTCTAATAATACACCTATGAGTCCAGCAGATATGAAACCTATTATTAGTACGATCATTATTATGTATATTATTGATTTTTTTATTTACTTTTGATTTTTTCTATATATATAAAATCTTGAATATATGTATATATATATATATATATATATATATATATATATATATATATATATATATATATATATATATTTATATATATATATAAATGTTTAGAAACAGATAAAGATTGCTTACGGTTAACATTCAATGTAGCAAACGGCAGTGTTTTGCAACCTTTTCGTCTTCAACATAATCTTGCTGTAAGCAACCATGCTTTTTTCATGAAACCACAGATCTATCAAACTTTAATGAGCAGGTAATATTTAGTTAAAGTCATAAACTAAGTTTTTTTAAAAAATTTTCATAAGCAAGGTTGTTTAATATGTAGTAACATTTAGAGCATATTGTTTATTAAGATCTTTAACTTAGTATCATTTTACTTTTTTAATGACTGTTTTTCAAGTTATTTTTGATGACTTGTTCTATTGTTATAACTACAAATTTAAGTTTTGATTTAATTTCTTGTAAAAAAGTTTCTTGCCAACAAATAAAAATTTAATTTTTTTTTTGAACTTTTTCTTAAGCAACTTAAATTCATTTTTTGATACAATTTTCTTTAAAGAAAAATTATTCAGCATTTTTATTTAATGATTTGTGTTGTATGATATCAGAATTTTTATCCACTAATAGTTTAATATCTTGTTTGCAGATTTTTTAAAGAAGGTTTATGAATCATACATTTGTTGTTTTACAGGCCAGACTTAGAACTGCAGTTTAAGTGTTATCACCATGATGACAAAGCTATGACAACTAATTGGCCAAATAGTGTTAGCGTGAGTGTTAATAATATTCCTTTGACACTTGAAAGAGGAGAAAGCAAAAGTTCGCACAGACCATTACTTCTTAAAAATGTTTGTAAAGCTGGAAGGAATACGATACAAATAAATGTGATGGTCTGCTGTTGTGTAAGTTAGAATATTTTAATCAACTGTTGTTTTAAAATTTATAAGTTGTTTTTTGACATTTGTTAAATCTTTAATTTTATTAGTCACATCTTTTTGTCTTGCAACTTGTTCATCGCCCATCAGTCAACTCTGTACTGCAAGGACTTCTAAAGAAAAGGTTGTTACCGGCTGAGCATTGCCTTAAAAAAAGTGAGTAATCTTAAAAGTTTCAAACTTTATAATGTTTTGCTTACAGTTCTTGGTTTTCAATTTTTTTTTTTTTTTTTTTTTTTTAGTTAAATACAATTTCAAAACATCAGCAGCTAATGGAACAACAGTTTCAAGTGATGAGGATGGTGTTGAACAAACTGCAATCAAAGTGTCTTTAAAATGTCGTATAACTTATCAGAAAATTAATATTCCTGCACGTGGTCAGGAGTGTAAACATATACAATGTTTTGATCTCGAAACATACTTAAAACTAAATGTAGATAAAGTAAATTGGAAGTGCCCAGTATGCAGGTATGTTTAGTTATTGTTTGTCTGTATCTGTGAGACTTTGTTTCATAATTTGACTGAGGGTTGGGAATGTAGAATGCGTTCTTTTTTAAACAAATGTTAAAGCAAGATTTTTAATTTATTTTTTATATATTCTTTTTATCTTTTTATGAAAACATATATTTGGCATTCCAAACCGTTAAAAATATACCATGATTTCTTCAAACATATTTTTATCTCTTAAAAAATGTTTCAAGAAATACCAGGTAAAGGTCAACGGCTTTTGACAGCTTTTAATTTATAATATATAAACACACACGCGCACAAAATGCAACTGTTTTGAGTCATTTTAAATAGTTTTTTATTCATATTTTTTCTTTGTAAAGCAGCATTTTGCTTTCGTATGCATTGTGGTAAAATTTTGAATATTTGTGTCAAGACATATGTTTTTCAAGGCATAAAATAAAAATATTTTTTACTTGAGATTATTAACATAATAACTTATGTTTACTAGATATTTTGTTGTGTATTGTTTGAAAATATTATAAATTTATGATCTTAATAGAATTTTGTGTTATTCCTTTTTTTTTTTTTTGTATACTACTGTGTGGGAGTTTATTTAAGGTATAATGAAGTAAAATTAACTGATAATGTCATATAATTTTCAACAATGCTATTTTTATAAAGTTTTTGCGAGTTGATAAATTGTTTCGTTTACGCTAATTTTTATAATAGTGAAATAGATTTATTATATTAAATCTAATATAAGTTATATTAATTCTGATATAAGTTATATTATATCTGATATAAGTTATATTAAATCTGATATAAGATATATTAATTCTGATATAAGTTATATTAAATCTGATATAAGTTATATTAATTCTGATATTAGTTATATTTAATCTGATATTAGTTATATTAATTCTGATATAAGTTATGTTAAATCTGATATAAGATATATTAATTCTGATATTAGTTATATTTAATCTGATATTAGTTATATTAATTCTGATATAAGTTATATTAAATCTGATATAAGTTATTAATTCTGAGTTTTTTAAAGTAAGAGTAATAAAGGTTATATCTTGCTGACTAAATATTCAGTTTCCATCAAAAATTCAAAATTTGTTTCACATTTTATTGTTTTATATTGTAAATTTAATGCCTAAAATAAACACTTTTATAAAAAAAAAAAAATTTTATAGCAAAAGTGCAGTTTTGGAAGGTTTAGAAGTTGACCAATATCTATGGCAAATTATAACCACCTTGACTAAGTATGTTTAAGTTATACTATATTTATTATGTAAGAAAGTTAATTAAATTTAAAGTCTATTTAAAATTAATTTAAATTTGATCTTCAATAATATTTTAAAGGACAGACGTTGAAGAGGTTACAATTGATTCAAGTGGCTCTTGGAAACCTGTATCTATAAAACAAGAAATAAAACAGGAAGAAGATACATCCTGTTCAAGTGGGCCTCCTCCGAAGAGAATGAAATCCGTTGATTCTGCAATGCCGTCTCCAATGTCTATGACTAATCCTTCTACTCCATCTTATAAACCATCGACGCCGGCAACATGTGCAACAGTTGGACCGAGGACGCCCCAAAATCTTCCAACAAGCTCGACACCTAATAACGATAAATTTGCATTACCTTCGCCATCTCAGCCTCAATTATTACGGCAACAAAGTCAAACTGCTGTTTCTGGAGCTTGTCACTTGTCTCCTCCAGGTAATGACAGTATGTAATTATAAAAACTTTGTAAATTTTTTTCTTTTTGTAATTTTCTTTGTGAATATTATTCAGCAGGTCCGCCTACGCTAATGCGTTCACCAGAAAATCTTCGTCCCTCCTCTTCAATAACGGCAACATTCAATAGTGTTACTACTTCTGCGCCCGCAAAACCATCTAACTCCGCTCAAGAATGGCGTAGTCCTGAAGATATAGGTCTTGATTCTATATTCCCCACCCCAGAAGAAAGTGAGACGCCTGGGGACGATGACGAAGAAGGGCTTGATGTATGTATACACAATGTGTTTTATTTAATTTCGTATTATCTCTGTTTTGCATATCATTAAATTTTTGTATTTTCAGGTTCTTCCTGACATGGACCATGAACTACTGCTTTCATATCTTCCTGACATACCTTCAGAAGATTTGATACTAAGCATGCTTGATGGAATTGGTTCAGATAACACTAATATGAGAGTTCCGGATTACTAAATATGTTTTTAGTTTTATTTTAAAAAAGATTTTAATCTTTTAAAAGATATCAACCGAGCTATCGTGGTCATCAAGATCATTGAGCTATTTTAGTATAAATATTATTCTTTTTATTACGAACAACGTAAATATTTGCACTACAAATGTTTAGTATGCGCAAGCGTAATGATAATATTGGGTGATGTGTTGTTATGTTAACGTTGCTGTTTTGTATGTTATATTGAAAAGGTGTATAAAAAGTTGCAAGATATTCTTGTTATAGTTTTTCAACTCTTTTATTTTGCTTTGGCAGGTTTGATGAAACAAGTAACAAAATTCTTGAAAAATTTAAAGGCTGAACAACAAATATCTTTTATCAGATATTATTTAGTCTCACAAAAGTAACCGAGGTGTTTTTTTGAAACGTTTAGGAAAAACAACATTCGAACTTGAACTTTCGATAGCCACTTTTTGTAAGAATCAGACATATTCCTGAAGCTATGGAAGTGACCCCCTCCAAATTACTTGATTTTTTTATATTGATTAGATTATAGAGAACATTTTTTTACATAAGCAAAATATTTTCGGAAAAAATTTTCGAAAAATACTTTGCTCACTCAGAATCCGGGTTAGAATTTTCAAGATTTTTTAAAAAATTTTAAGAAGTTTGGTTTTAGCTACCTTTAAAATTTATTTTTGGCTTATCTCATCTTTTGGCTACTTACATATTGATCGGGCAGAAATTTCTAAGCTGCATGTAAACTTTTTCAAAGCTCATTCTATTTCTTATTTCTTTACGAATAAAGCATATACAGCTGCTTACTGTTGATTTAAAAGTTTAAAAGAATTTTGAACTGGGAATACCCAAACTTGCGATACGAAAATGTTCATACAATTAGGTAATTTGTCTTCTACATAAACATTGTTAGAGAATGAAAAAATTGAAATATTAAGTTATAAAGTAATTTTCATCTTCTGAACAAACGATCTGCAAACTCTATTTAATGATGTTAGTAATATTGAATGTAATTTTCAAAAGCATGTGTTCTAACTCAGCATCGCGTTTAAATGGTAAAGTACAACTCGTTTTAGTGGAAAATCTAAATGAACAATATTGCCTATCCCTAGTCAAAAAGTCAGGATATCCTATAAAAAGGATATAGGACATTCCTATAGAAAATTGGAACATAATTTTCTATAGGATAATGCAATTAAATGTAACCTATAGGAATATTTTTAGGATAGGATTCCTCTAAAATCCTGTTCCAAAACCTTATAGGAGTTATATTCTATAAAACACCGAATGAACAATATCCTATAGTTTTATACTTACAGAAATCCTAATCAATTGAGTAAGATTTCGTATAAAAACACTGGTAATTGTTCGTTTGGTATCTTATACGATAAAACCTCGTATAAGATTTTGTAACAAGAATGAGTAGGATTCCTGTACTTATAAAACTATAAGATTAATATCTTATAATTTAAATGTACAAGAATCCTATTCATTCCTGTATCGGATTGCCATTTTCAGTTGTCAAAGGATAATTAATAGGAATATCGTCTAGGGTATTCTTACATAAATTATCTTTTAGTTCTTAATTTAATTCAATCCAATGAATTAAATTCACAAAAAAAATAAAAATAAAGGAAAAGAACAACATAATATTGATTAAGTCAGCGAGCAGATATTGTTATTAAATATACAATTTATTATTGTTATTAACATAATATTCTCTATCAACAATAGTTTTCTTGAAAACATCAATGCTTCGTTTTGCAATTTATCTTTCATCATTGTACTTTGCAGTAATTGCTTTTCTAAACATAGCATAGTTTTCCCTTGGAAATCGCTCAGCTAAGATCTCTGAAAACAAAAATATGAACAAACTAAAAGTTTTATATTATATTCATTATACAAAACAAGGGGAAGTAGTGGTGCCAAATAAAATATTATAAAATCAATACCTAAAATGTCCTAATACTTCTTAGAGTTCAAAGCTGGCTTAGGTATGCTACCTTTGGCTGAATTACATCGAACTCCTGTCAATGAATGACTTGATAAATTTTTACCCTAAAAAACCTCAGCTGCCAAATCTTCAACAGCTTGCCAAACGCTTCCTTATCTAATTGCAGCACATTGATTTGCAGTCAATTTTTCTTTAAGTTTACCAAATTAATGATATATATATATATATATATATATATATATATATATATATATATATATATATATATATATATATATATATATATATATATATATATATATACTTATTTGTTAGCTTACTATGTCTAGAGCATGCTCGAAAAAAATTGGTACCTTAGCTTTATGGGATCACCTTGCTACAACTTGATTTCGGAAACCGTGAGAGTATTGACGGGGGGGGGGGGGGTGAAACTTTTTTTTTTTTTTTAAATTTAAGTTGAAACTGTATAAATATAAAAACGTCTAAAAAATTTTTTTGATAAAAAATAATAAAACCTCCGACATAATACCGCAGCTCAATTAGTCAATGTGTTCAAGTATACCAAACACTAACCATGACTCAGCTCCTACATAATTAACGAGTGAAGGTAGCATGGTGAGTTTGAGAAACTCAGTCTTTTGTGGAATAAAACCGGAATTGTTCTTTCTTTCAAAATCATACTTGTTTGTTCGAAGAAACTGTACTAGCTTTCTAGCCATTTCTTCCTTTGTAATGTCAGACACAAACTGGTCTGAATTGGCTAGGGCAAAAATAACAGTAATGGGATCTAAGTACCAGCTGTGTTTTCCCCACCTTTTGAAGACTGAAGTTACATCAAACTTCTCCAAGTGGGCCATCTGCCAGATAAAGTGCTGGTCCTGCAATCCTAAAATTTCAATACAATTTGGGTACACTATTTTATCAAATAATAATGCTAAAATTAAACTATGATTATTTGTATCAAGGCTAAAAATAAACTTTGATTGGAGCTGCATCTGATTTTTCAGCTCTCAGAAATTGAGGAGCATAGAAAATTGAAATAAAAATTGCCATCTTTTCCACTTCATTAATCTTCTCCTGGCTCAATTTTAGGATTTGCTTGGTCGAATTAATAAGAAGCATGATCTTTAGATCGTAGATACTCTTTGCCATAAAACGAGCATGATGTACTGTTCCTGGCTTGTGTATGTTGAGAGGCTTGAATGTCCGTTCCAAGAACACGAGAGCTAGCTCAGCAAGTTCCTGGTAGTCTGCTCTCTTTTCGTGTCTCTAAAAAAAGTTTAATGCGGATATTTAATTTCATTCATTATTTTTTTTTGTATTCAAACTTGAAGATTTAAATGGTTAGAAAAGTTTACCTGAGAGTTTTTGAAGACTCCTTTATTCAAAATCGTCATTAAGCATTTTCTTGCTTTTTCTGCTTGTTCATTAAACCAAGAATCATAAATAGATTGCGATTTGAAGTGAGTAATGACACAGTTTTTCACATCAATATCATTCTACTTACTTTTCAAGGCTTTAAAGAGTGCGCTGTCAGGTCCTGTGGTTTTGTCTATGGTAACTGCTAACCAATAATGTTTTAATATAACTTCTAAAACATGATGTCTACAAGCAAGCATCAACAATGGTTTACCAAAATCGTTTCGCAATCTGAAAAATTAAGATTATAACTAAATTGTTTATTGTAATTAGCTTTTAGAGTCCTTCTTTTAAATTATATAAAAAAACAAAAGGGCAAAAATAACAGTAATGGGATCTAAGTACCAGCTGTGTTTTCCCCACCTTTTGAAGACTGAAGTTACATCAAACTTCTCCAAGTGGGCCATCTGCCAGATAAAGTGCTGGTCCTGCAATCCTAAAATTTCAATACAATTTGGGTACACTATTTTATCAAATAATAATGCTAAAATTAAACTATGATTATTTGTATCAAGGCTAAAAATAAACTTTGATTGGAGCTGCATCTGATTTTTCAGCTCTCAGAAATTGAGGAGCATAGAAAATTGAAATAAAAATTGCCATCTTTTCCACTTCATTAATCTTCTCCTGGCTCAATTTTAGGATTTGCTTGGTCGAATTAATAAGAAGCATGATCTTTAGATCGTAGATACTCTTTGCCATAAAACGAGCATGATGTACTGTTCCTGGCTTGTGTATGTTGAGAGGCTTGAATGTCCGTTCCAAGAACACGAGAGCTAGCTCAGCAAGTTCCTGGTAGTCTGCTCTCTTTTCGTGTCTCTAAAAAAAGTTTAATGCGGATATTTAATTTCATTCATTATTTTTTTTTGTATTCAAACTTGAAGATTTAAATGGTTAGAAAAGTTTACCTGAGAGTTTTTGAAGACTCCTTTATTCAAAATCGTCATTAAGCATTTTCTTGCTTTTTCTGCTTGTTCATTAAACCAAGAATCATAAATAGATTGCGATTTGAAGTGAGTAATGACACAGTTTTTCACATCAATATCATTCTACTTACTTTTCAAGGCTTTAAAGAGTGCGCTGTCAGGTCCTGTGGTTTTGTCTATGGTAACTGCTAACCAATAATGTTTTAATATAACTTCTAAAACATGATGTCTACAAGCAAGCATCAACAATGGTTTACCAAAATCGTTTCGCAATCTGAAAAATTAAGATTATAACTAAATTGTTTATTGTAATTAGCTTTTAGAGTCCTTCTTTTAAATTATATAAAAAAACAGTTCACCTGTATATAGCACCATGAATCATTCCAGTATTGCTAGCAGTAGTATCGAAGCAGACCATCCTTACGTGATCAGCAACTTCAAAATCTTTTAAAATTTATTTGATAGCCTTGAACTGATTTAGCCCTGTACCAGAATGAACTCCTGGAGCGCCAAGTAGATGATCAGTACCTCCAGCGCTCACATAAACACAAATCCTATCAACTGCTACATCACCCTGATTTGATATCAAGTCCTATAATTAGGATTAGATTAAGATGTAAGAAAAACAGTTGTTTTCAATTAAAACACTAGTTAAAATTAAATATAAGCAAACCTTGATTAACTTTCCGTCAAAGTGTAGCGGAATTTTCACCTTACCCTGTTCGATCTCTTTTTTTATTAAAATCTTAATATTTTCAGCATCTTTGTAAATAATATTGTTTTTCATTCAAAAAGCTGTATAAGAAAAAGTATAAGAAAGGGGCAACTTATTTGAATCACCTCCAGCTGCGGTGGCAAGCTTTATCAAGGTTGCTGTAATTTTATGAGGTGTCGTATCCATGCCTATAGCTGTTCTCATAGTTTCTTTAATAACTTCTCGATTGATGACAATGGCTTGTTCTTGATTTTA